TTTGCAGACAATTTAAACATTTAATCCCGTAGAATAACTAACTCAGGCTGACATGATCCCCTCGGTAGGTTCACGTCCGGTTAGGCGTTGTATATGCAGCGGAACGTTTGCAATTTTTCTGGAGGCACTCTTTTGAATAGACTCGCTAAGCTGCCTGATGGAAAAAGGTTCCGTTTGGAAAAAGCCCCGTGGTAGAATTTGAAAATTGCAAAAATTGCATCTCCGAAACGGCTTACTCCTGCCTCTGGCGGTTTTCGATCTGGAGAGGGCGGTATGTTGCCGACGTCATCACTGTACAGCCCAGTCGAGGACTCGACCGCGAATTCGTGTCCGACCGAAACCGGGCCCGGGTAGGGATTAATCACCCCGAAAGGCAATAGAGGGTGGAAGGGTTAGATGGCCCTAGGCGAAGAGGCGGAATTAATCCCGCCGTGGAATTTGCAGCTACGGGAAACTATTCGCTGTCGATTCGGGGTGACTACCAACGACGGACACCGTTAGGGAATGCCGGGGCTTCTGGTCGATTGATAGCTACGCGTGTAGCTTCCCGAATAAGTAGATGGTCCTCGCTCATCGATGCTCTTTCAACTTTGGACTCACCTCAAATCTTGAGAGTCGCAACTTTGTTCATATTTGAATGGAAAAGTACCCTCTATCGGTGGTTCTTCCTCCTTCTACAGTCACGGAACGCTTTTAATTGTAGGTAATGAAACTTTGCGAACCGCCCAAATCAATGAGATAGGGGGTCCAACCCTTTGGTTTGTCTAGGTTACTTGTAAAATTCACAGTACACGGTATATTTCATGTGAGTAACAAAGTTTCCTCTTTTTCGTACCTATCTAATAACCACATACATGTTCTTTAGCACAATCAAATGAGACAATGCCCGGATCTCGGCAATTAGGTACAAGTATTATTTAAACCAAAATTGAATCGACATCCCTTTTCATTTCCCTAAACAATATACGTTAATTTCTGATTTGTATGATATTCATCCACGGGACTCGCGATTTCTTCCAAGCGGTGTAATATTTTTCACGATATTAATATTATATTCTTAAAATAGCCGCGGTTTTAATAACCTCTGATAGAAAGAATGACTAATTATATATCTTTCCATCCATACCTATGGAGCAAAATTTCACCTCCTTCGTTTCTCGCTGAAATTATCGGTACCCATCATTAGCGTAGAAACCAATTTGCACCGTATAACAAGAGTCGTGGATTAAAAATGAAGTAATTACATTCATGCACCGGGAAGGAAATATCTGGCATATAATTATTGTAAGCCTTTCAGTACAGAATTTTGTTCCAAAATGGACGCTATACTGCAGACACTACACGTAACAATGGCAAAATATCCATCCTGATAGCGCCATAGCTTCCGGCAATGGTCCTACCCTTTTCTACCCAACTTGTACCCGCGATAAGCCGAACTTTTACGGTCCGGTCCTTAGGCTCGGTCATGTCCGTAATTTTTTCCGCGTTTTCGGCGCATTTGCGTGACGTTCGCTCCTCGGGGGCAGAGGAAGCGAAGAGGTCCGCCGACGCTTTGCTCTCTCGTGGAGAGCGACCAGCAAGCGGGGAAAAGTTCGAGAGGCTGAAGGAAGCGAAAGGGGCTGGAGGGGCTGCTACCAAAGAGCAGAGGTCTAAGCCATATCCATTTGCAACTTTCAAATCGTTCCGACGGCGTGGCTCTTGAAAGGAACCTTTTACCACTCTCAATGCTCGGTAAAATTTTCTGAAACGCGCTCGTAGCCGCCGCGTGGCTTTTAAACGTTAACACGCCCGTTGGTACAATGGCGGGGTCGCATTATACTCGAGAGGGGAGAGCGAAGATGGCGTCGGTGCTCGGAAGATCGAGGGCTGGGAAACTCTGCCGAGCTTGCGCCTCCGTCGCTGACATTTCCGACCTTACGCCACTCTGCTCGAATTATCAACTTAACTCGTTCTCCTGAAACCGTTATCCGAAATGTTGTTCGCCCTCCAGCTGGAGATTCCCATTTCTTTTCGGGCCCTCTACACCGCCTCGTTCTCGCAAATGCTCGCCGTATTTGAAACCGAATCTGCATCCTATCCAGGAAATGGTTGCCTGAATTAAGAAAGAAGCTTAAATGAAAGAACTTGTTTCTGCTAATTATGACTGAACGAGTTTCTACGCCATCCTCGGATATAGAATTAGGAAATAAAAGGAAACTGTGGATGGTCGTACATTTAGGATTTATTCCGCCAGTGGTTATTAGTTTCTTGAAATATACATAACTTTCAATTGTAGTACCATTCCTCAAGGTCTGCTATGTCGCACTTATAGATACCTATGTTCGACAGTTATAATTGCAAGTAGATGTTTAGTTTCTGTTTGAAATAACAGGTGCAGTACAGGTTAGAATGAAGATATTAATTATCATGAGGAGAGAAGACCACGGAACGCTCTGATCGTGGATCGAGTTTTAAATGCCCATTCCTCCCATTCTCAGACGCCATCATTGAAATAAACATTCTAGTAACTCGTTAGAGGGACCGCATTGAAATTCGACATTTATCCGACGAAGCAATTTGCATCCGCTCTTCGAATTGAGCCTGACAGCCACCGCGCTGGGGCGTAGAGCCCGGTGTAATTTCGGAGGACTCAGGGTCGTGGGGTCGTTTATGGATCGTTTATGTTACTTACTGGAATAAGAGGACAAGGACAGTAACTTACTGAAATAAGAGGACAAGAATCTGGGGTGGCAAACGAGGTAAAGATGGGAAAAACGTGGAAGATACGTAAAAAGGTTCTTCTTGAAACGAGTTTAAAAAGACGCAAGGTTGACGAACGTCAAAAGACACCTTTCAATACTAGACAGTAATTTTATAACCGTTATCCACAAAAAGCTGCGTTAAACTATACTTAAAATGAAAAAAAAAAACTTATGTTAAACATTGCTTTATTATCTTAGAATTAATCCGTGCTGGTTTGACAGTAATCGCTCGATGAAAACTCGCAATTCGAAAAATTATACTTTATGCTTGTAATATTGAAACTGAAAATCGATTGCATTCCAGAGGACTTAGGGTTTAGAAGCATTTACGAGTCATTTAGATCTCTTATTGTTAGTTAAATAAAATACTAGAAACACACGATGCAGGTATTGTAAACCATACGATACGATTTGAATGTCCTAAAACTTGTTTAAATTTAGGAATATCACTTCAAATGACGACGAAACGACATACAGGACACGGTTTCACAAAAATCTAACAAACTTGAAAACGGATACTTGGGTATTTGTAGGGCTCTTATTACGTACAGCGGTGAAGTATGATTCATAAAATTTGGAAGCAGCAAACCAACCGAACGTTAAACCGTGGCCTTTTATGTCTCGTCAGAATCCGACATTTCTCCGGCAGAAGCAATTTGCATGCCCCCTTAAAATTGAACTTGATACCCACCCCGCCAAGGAGTGGAGCTGCGCGTAATCCCGCAGGACTCGGAGATGGCCGAGTCGATTATGGATCGTTTAAGTAACTTACCGGGATAATGGGACTGGATCGGAACCCGAGAAGGGTAAGCGGAGCAAAGGTGGGGAAAAAGCAGAAGATATTTCGGGGGGTTTTTATTGAAACGAGCACAGCTGGCTGTTGGCGCTCGGTACGAGAGGACGGGAGCCGAGCTGGCAGTTTTTCTCACCCTACCGAAGAGTTACCGCCTATCTGTTGGACTTCCCGCAGAAATGGCGAGTGCCTTTGGTCCTCGGCCGACGCACAGTGAGCAAAAATCCGGAAAAGCCGGCAAAAATTCGAAAAATCACCTAATATATTTAAAATTTAGTATTGAGGTCGCTGATGACGAATTTGATATCAGTTTTCCAAAAAGAAAAAAACTCTTTCAATGAAATCTGATACGCGGTGACTTTCGAGGTTGCTGATAATGATTTTAATATTAGTTTTTGATACATAAAAAATGACGGCTTCATAGTCGCACTAACAGTATGTAAAAGTATAAAAAAATGACAAAAAGGTCCAAAACTAGACATTTCATTTTCTTTACTTTCGGCCAGATTTTCCCGATTTTTGCCGACTGTGCCACGCTGGAAATGAATTCCCTTATGAAAATCTGAGTCTGCATCGCGTCTAAGTACCTAGGGAGTCGGGAAAGATCAGCTCGGAAATTGCCATTCCAATCATCTACCTAAACCCCGATGGCCTTACTGGTCTTTCGGAAGACGCGACACGTAAGCGGAATATACCGCGACTCGGACAAAGGTTTCCATTTAATACGGAATGATAAGGCAGATGCGTCAGCGAATGCGGAATTAGTTGACTAGCTGGCTAGTGGTACTTAGGTTACGTAAATGAAGCCCCTTCTCCGTTTCAATGGACGTCTTGCCAAGTTTGTAACTTAATCATCGCTGCCTCGCGAGGGTGGCTGCTCAGAGGGCAAAATGGGGTTGGAAAGACGAGGGTGCTCGGCATGAATGAATGAAAGGGTTGCCGGATCTTTTTCCGGGACCCGCTTCCGAAATCGCTCGATGACACGTCGATGACCCTCTTCAACGTTCTAACTTATCTTTAAATATCGATACAATATATGGATTTTCGATAAAATACATTTAAAATTGATATTGAATTGAAAATTGATTTAAAAATGATTAGATAGACGCGTATTTATCTAGTAGATACACATATACGGATGAGTGCTTCCTGTTCATTTCGTCTTGCTTCTTGGAAATGAAACAATCATTTCCATAATTTTCGAGATATAAATGACCGTGACAAAAATTTATTTTAAACCGCGAGTCTTTGGTACAATTAGTGAATCAGGTGCAAAATGATCGGAAGAACTTTTCATTTCAATGCATTATTTATTTTACTGCAAATGGAGTACTAATCTGGAATGCGCTAATCTGGAACTTTGAGTAGCGCATTACTATTTAGGTTAATCCATCCGTTCCATTAAATCTGACACGGATCCCTAAGTATGATCGATACCAATACCGAACCTGTTATTCTGATTTCAGGTTTCGGCTTCGTCACGTTTCAAAGCGAGGACGTCGTCGACAAAGTGTGCGAGATCCACTTTCACGAAATCAACAACAAAATGGTAAATTGACATCATGATCACCTGTACGCTACCCAACATATGAATCTCTCCCTTCACGACCTCAAAAAAACCAATATTAAAATCAACAAAAAAAAGTTACATTACCGTTTGAAACGAAGCACAGTCAACGTTAATTACATCATTTATGATATATAATCCTCCATACGACTGCATTCGGCGTCAGTCTTTTTAGTACACACTTTTTAGCCGAGTCGGTGTCACTTGGAACCTCTAAATGTTTTTACGTGGGTTTTGAGATAGTATCAAGAATGGTTATAAAAAGAGCGAGGCCTACGATTAGAGGTTCTCGGTGAAATTCCGTCTCGGGTATATTCCAACCCAGAATCTGGACAAGTTGTAAGCTCAACTAGAACTCGACTTTTTCTCCGTTCATCGGCGAACAAGCATGACCGGATGAATACCTTCCCCACTATTCCATGACAAGAACTAATCATTGTCGTGGCTGCAGGTGGAGTGCAAGAAGGCGCAGCCGAAAGAGGTGATGCTCCCCGCGAACCTGGCCAAGACGCGGGCGGCCGGCAGAGGCGCATACGGTGAGTTGGTGATGGTCGCGACTCCCCCCACCACGTACCGATACGCGCCGTACCCCCTCCCCGCGGCGGCCGCAGCCGCGCAGGCCGCCGCAGCGGCCACCGCGGCCACCCCCCACCACCTGCTCGGACCGATCGTCGCGACACCCAGCGCCGCCGCCACGTACCAGTACGCCGCGGCCGCGGCCGCAGCGGCCGCCGCGGCTGCGGCCCCGGCCGCCGCGGTCTACGACGTTAAGAGGGCGCTCGCCGCGGCGGCCTACAGGCCGCACCCCGCGGCAGCGGCGGCGGCCGCTGCCTCCAGGGCCGCAACCCTCACCTACTCCATGAGCGACCTGCTGGGCGTGCAGGGCCTGGACATGGGGGCCGTCTACCACCCCGTGCCGACCATCGGCATATGACCGACCATCCTGACGCCCCTCTCGCGGCCTCAGTAACGAGTCCGGGGCACCCTTGGTCCAAATGGCTACGGCCAAGCGGCCGTCCCGAGGACAAACATGGCTGCTCGAAGCGTATCTTTTTCTTCCGACCGGTTGCCGACTTTTGGGCGATCCGTTTCTTCGTTTTGGTTGGTCTCTCGCGCCCGCGTTGCCCGTTGAAAGCCGACTCGCGGAGGAGCACCTGCGCCACGTGGAGGCCCCTCGTTCTCCGCGATCATGTAAATACCTGAACCGATAGTGGCTATGAGGAGAGAGGGAGGAACGGGGAACCAGCGACGGAGGTGTATTCTCTGTGGGTCGTTTGTGGTGGGCAGGGTGCAGGGGGGTCCACTGAACTGGGTCGACCTAGGCTGGACTTGGCAGAAGTTGGGCAGATGGTTGGGAGCTGAGGTTTGTTTTTCTTAGCCTGGATTCTCGGAGGAATTGACTGCGCGGTGATAGATTGCTATTGCTATCCTGCTGGTACCGTATGCGGACTGAGTAATTGATTTCGCGTTTGTAAGATTGGGGTTGCCTTTGGTAGAAGCGCGGGAGAAAGAGGTAGGCGAGATGATATTTCACGTTTATTGTGCGCACGGGGGACCGGTGACGACTGTAAGTGTTAAGTTGTTACCGTGCAATCAGCAGCAGGGAAAGAGGTTACTCACCGATCCTATGGAGAGAGGGTGGGACGCTAACGGAATCATCCGAGGTCGTGTCAGTGGGCTGAACCCACTTCACACGAGTGAACTAAAGTTTACGTGCTCTCCTGGACATCATTTTGAATCCTATCGGTGGATCAGCTCCTGCCAAGCCGCACCTAAATCGAATGCTTCAAACGACCCACCCAGCAGACCTTTTCGGTCTTATTTCACCTTTAACCCTTTCGCTGCCACGGTGGTCCCATGGGACCGGCGATTGTCTTTTCATTTGGGCCATGGTGGTCACCAGTGACCAATTTGTTTTTAAAATCATTCATTTTGAGACTAATGCTCTCGAATAAAAATTAATGAATTATGCAAACATGTACACAACCTTATAAATTAAAAGGTGCGCTACTCAATAATAACAAATGTTTATTTAATATATAAAATATTTACTCTTCTGTTTTAGCCAAAAACAAAGTAATGGTCTTAATAATACAGAATTTTTTGTGTTGTTTGGCAAGATTGTACCGTTATTTTAATATATTTCGCAGCTCTTCGCCATTATAAAATTTGTCATATGAAATTTGTATCGTGGCCCCCTGATGCAAGCTCAAAAATTCGCGTGGCAGCGAAAGGGTTAAATCAGTTTTAGTGTTTCAATTGAATAGTCCGCTGAAAGAATTGACTGCTTACACGTAAATACACGCAGCTACACTGACACCAAACTTTTTTTACCCTAAAGGTAAAGAGATGTCACCCTTTTGTATTTGCGATTACGATACACCTTCAAATGCAATCGTGCAAACGTTTTGAATATTTTACTGAATTACGTCCACTATATTAACCCAAGTAACACAGTTTTTAGTGTACAATATGTGCAGTAAATGTAAATGATCATCATGTAATAGCAGCTAACGTCAATCAATTAATATCTACAATATTTTGCCGTCAAATTATAACCCGTTGAAGTCTGTTGTTCCCTGATGTTACAACAGTTACATATTTACATATCTCAGCAATTCGAGATATTCTTAAGACCCCGCACCGCATACATTAATCGTGAGTTCTACTGCCAACAAAACTGTGTTTCTTGGGAAGCGACGCACAAGGCGCGATAAAACAAAAGAAAAATTAGTCGAAATGAGAGTGGTCAAAACGCAACATTTGCAGAATCGATGTGTCAAATCCAACTGCTACGTAACGTTTTCCCAGCAACATTAACCCTTTGCGCTCCTATATCGAGGCTGATTCGACATTTACAAGGCGATTCAGAATTTCGGACCGCAAAGGGCTAAAAATGAATAAATCAAGTTGGCCACGTGATGTAATTCCTTGCCCTACCAACTCTTACTTAAAAGTGCAATCTAACTTACAAACACGAAAATGGAGTGCAAGCAGGTTTCCTTGCGTACCACGACCGAACTATTGCCATCATAAAAAAAAATAAGACAAAACATCGAAACACATATTCAAGCAATTTGAGTTCTCCCGGGGTGGGATTCAAACTGCTTCAGTCAACGCTTTGAAGTAAGGGTTTCAAATATCCGTGACGCTTGTCGTACGTATATATATATACATATGTTTCTAGCAGACATGTTTCTTTTTTACTACCGATATTGCCAGTAGGTGTCGCGGGTTAAATTTTGTTCTCCAATTGACTGAGTACGAGGAGGGGCCCAGGGGGTCGCAGGGAAAATCAAAGGAAACGTGCAAGGCCCAGCAGGGGCGGCTTAGGTGCGCGCACGTCGCGTTTTCCGCGTGAGGGTTGCGAGACGCCAAGTGGAACAACGTATTACATATTCGATATTAAATACGCACACGTGGAAATGGGTTTACGGAACGATACGCTGATGGTTGCAAATAATCGCACACACCACGTTCTACGTGAATGAACCAAGGAAATTCTCTTGTTCCCTATTTTATCAGATGTACATTTTCAAGTTATGGAGATGGAAATCTCAGCCAATCAACTGCAGTGATCTTGTGCGATCTTGTACGTGATTGGTTGCATTTCAAACCTTTGCACTGCAATACGGTACGGTCCGCACAACTGATGCTAATGAGTTTTGGTATTCTTTGTGAAAATAGCATTTCTTTGGGAAATTTATGGAGGACCCTTTATGTAAAACGTATGATTGCATATGTACGTACATCCATTTCTAGGAGTGAGGAAAAGTATATTCTTATCTTCCACTTGGAACCGTTCGGTTCAGTTCGGGAACACTGTGATCGTAGACCGGTAGAAAAGGTTAGGTAGATTACGAATCAGAAACGAGCTAGTTGACCGAAGGGGCCTCATTTTTACGTAGTTTGAAGACTTTAGGAAGGCACAAACCGAAAGACTGGTAGCGATTAGTAGCGGTCGAGCTGTAGTGACGTAGTGGAGGACAATAACAAAGTGTTCAAAATTGTTCTCGCGGACAATGCTCAATAGAAGACGCTCGACGTACTCGTATCTACTCCCAGGGAAACGAATATATCATTTTCAAGAGAATATGTTAACGTGAATATTTCATTGCGTTTACAATTAGCTTCATGTGTTTCAATTCTAGCGCACCTAATCCATTTATTAGCAAATTATCTCATCTCGCCATCTCATACGCGATAGAAAGGATGATTAACGTTATTTATCAAGCGAATGAATCCTCCAAACGTAATCTTCATCGCTATAATTCAAATGTAAATTAAATTACAATTTTAAGAGAAAACCTCAATTGCTCACTTACTACATACGTGTACTCCTTATATGGACACGAAGTAAGAGTTTTTAGTAATTGATCGTGACGAGATCAACACAAACCGATATAAGTCATGTAATTGCAGGAATTATCTTAGCCGGAGCCAAGAAATACGAAATACATACGTACACTTAAAGACTGTTTGTAGGCACTTGTACTCCTTTGCACGAAGCTTTAAGATGCAAAAACGTATTTACTTCAGTATTATTATAATTGTATACGTAATTTGCTGCCAAACTAATAAGAGGACAACTTGCGTATGGACATGCTAATGTACATGACCATTGTTACTTGGACTGAATGTTGGGGTATGCGTAAATCACGAGAATTCGTGTCTTATTGTAGAAAGATATTCTTGTGTATAGTTAGAAACTCACATCTGTAGGTTTAGTTAAAAAGAGAAAAGAAAAAATCGTTTCCCTGTGGAATATAGAGTGAAAGTCGTCACGTCAAAGACAAACTGTCGTCAATTCACGGTAGTTCGTAGTAGTAGCGACGGGATTTATAGATATAGAGTGTTCCACGTTTTTGACCTAACAGGTTGAACAAGGCTCGAGCAGCACTATCTCTTCGGTGTAAAAGGACATTGGCCATCGGAATAAAATCCAACCCTTTTGAACAGACAGATTACACAGAGAAAAATGAAATATCTTACGACTCAAAAAAGAAATATTAACATTCCTTCTTACACAAAAACTCATATAATCGCATGCCACCTTCCGAAAGATCCCTTCCAAAATTGCTACGAATTGCCTGGAACTTCATGAAATTATGATAACCTGAAAAAAAGCAGTTTTCAGAAAAGTCTAAGAACTGCAAAATCATGAACTTTCACGTACTTCGGGAGAAACTCGAGAACGTTCTGGCCCCATTTCAGAAGATTTTTTGAAAGGGTCGTTATCGTCAAGTGATGAAAAATTTGCATCAAATTTGCCTCATAAAATCTCATGAAATGAGTCGTGAGGGTGTTGCTTACGAGTCGTCATCTGGAACTCACAACTGCAGTACACAATGACGAATACTTAAGTACGAAAGAAAGTTAAATACATGCAATGTCTCAATATTTGTATGCATATGTAAAGCTAAATCAATCTCAGGCGTTGCTGACAAACAATTGCAACGTCTGCATCTCATATCTGAACCACAACAAATTTATCGCAAATTTTTGTTCAAGTTTATTCTATAATATGCGCACATAT